ACAAATTTACTCAACTGGTACGGAGTTATGTAGGTGTTTGCTGTAAATATCTTTATCATTTACAAGTATTTACTATATAATGCTCATAAAAATAGTAGGAGATTTATTGAACTCAGAAAACGTCAACTAGAGTTGTTTACAAAAATACAATTTAATGGTGAACCAAAAATTATAAATTACTGCAAAATAAAACATTCTGGGTGAAGAAATAGTTGAATGATTTCGTATCCATATGGTCACGTCTGGATTTGGGTCTTGCAAATGTCCTCTGATCTCTCTGACCCCAGATCACCATGGATTACACACAGAGTTTAAGGTGTTTTGTCTGAGTTCTTAGACTCATAACAGATCATTGTAAAGTTTTTTTTTTTCTTTTTCTTTTTTGGTTGTTTTGCTGAGAACTGTATTTTTGTGCCACAGTTTTAGTAAAAAGTGCCCAGTCTGAAGATGGTTTGCTGGTTTCAAACTCAACATTATCCATCTTGTGTTTGTCACGCCAAAAAAAGCATTAAAAACAGAACATATCAATGTTTAGATCCTGTTCAGAATTGATCATTGATGATGGCAGGAAGAGAGCCAGAAGCCACTAACAAATAACACTGTGGCCCCATATTTTAGCTTTAAAGCTTTTTGTATCCTTTTAAATGTAAATAAACAATTTAAGGATATTTTAGACAGTTATGAATCCGATTGTATAACAGACAAAAATATTAAGTACATGGTTCGTAATGAAAAGATCGGTTGATTTACTTGAGTCATAGGAAATCGGTGTCCTTTTTTAGAAGACCTTTTAGTTGGTTTGGGATCAACAACAAAACATGCACTGATTTTTATGTGTTCAGTAATTATACTTTTCCACATTTAGATGACATGTAGATGCCTCATTGTACGAGCTGAACTTTGAGCAAGATGATTGAACGTTAACCTGATTAATGTTTCACCATCTTGACTCAGTGCAGGTGATTCATGTCAGCGCTGCCTGTTGCAGAACATGTGTGTGTGTGTGTGGGGGGGGGGGGGGGGGGGGGGGGGGGGGGGGGGGGAGGGGGGGGGGGTGTGTAGCCCATAAAACCAAACACTGCTGCCAGCTGAGGGAACTCTGGTTTAATTTTTTTTAACAGGTTTGTTTCACAAAATGCATCCTTTTCCATCTATTGTAAATTTTGAAATGCAGTACTTTTTAAACATAACTTTGATCTCTAAACTCTGCATTTTAGCCAAGGTTCTAGAAAAACCTGATAAACTGAAATCAAAAAGTATTTGGACTCATTTAACATCTTACTTTAACTTACTTACTCTCCATCAATCTGGTTTCAGGAAACAACACAGCACAATGACTGCTTCACTGAAGGTTGACATTGTTGAAGCACTGGATGCTAAGGATTATTGTGCTGCACTTTTCTTAGACCTGTCTAAAGCTTTTGATTCTGTGGATCATAACATCTTGTGTCATAAGCTTTCAGAAATTGGTTTCTCAGAACACACCATTGGTTGGTTCTTTAACTATCTTTCAGATTGGAGGCAATGTGTTCAGCATAATGGTATTTCCTCCAGTTATTTAACAGTCACCAATGGTGTACCACAAGGCTCAGTCTTAGGGCCCACACTCTTTGCAATATATATAGCTAATGTAGGTCAGAGCATCACAGTTGTTTATTGTTGAGCTAAAACAATTAACGTTTTCCAGCTTTTGCAATCTGCTTTAAACATCATCCAGTCAGACTTGCTCCATATCTCAAACTTGTCCTAAACACCGACAAAACCAAGGGATGCTTTGTTCAAACAGGAAGTCAGTCCTAGCAGTTCTTCCTTTGATTTTATCCTCAAATGGTGTCCCTATTGAGTTTGTTGATTCCTACAAATATTTGGGTATCTACCACTTTTAAACCTCACCATCCATCTTCCCTAAAGCCTTTAAACCTCTTTTAAATGAGTCCAACTCTTTCACACCGGTTGTTACCTTTTCTCTATCCTTTGTACGGTATTGTACATTCTTAATTCATATTGCCCCTCTTTTATTATTTTTCTTTTATTGCCATATATGAAAAACCTATCTATATGTCCTATCTAATTACAGTGAATGTGAAAATGTCCTAGCAGTTAATTTAGAACTAAAAAATAGAATAAAATAGTGCAGCTTAACTGAAGGGCTCAGATATGATATTACCATATTTTTTGAGGTGTTTTGTAATAAGTCCAAGGATCTATCATCATGAAGGCACAAATGATGTTTTATTTGGCTCTAAAGCTGAAGGAAGCAGCAATTATGTTGTTTTTGTGTGTGTGTGTGTGTGTGTGTGTGTGTGTGTGTGTGTGTGTGTGTGTGTGTGTGTGTGTGTGTGTGTGTGTGTGTGTGTGTGTGTGTGTGTGTGTGTGTGTGTGTGTGTGTGTGTGTGTGTGTGTGTGTGTGTGTGTGTGTGTGTGTGTGTGTGTTTAGGAAGATCCCTGTTTTAGGGAGAGTCTGCAGCTTTAAATACAATTACAGGATAATCTGACTGATGAAACTACAACGTTTGCAGTCGTTTTGCTTTACTATTATTTTTACTTCTTGGCGTTATTGAACTTCTAATTCTGCAACAACTTTTTAAAAAACAGAGCTGAAAACTGTCAAAAGCTTCAGATTAGAAGAAAATGTCTTGCTCTGTTCTTAAGCAGATATTAGAAAGCGTTTTTATTTCTGAACAGTCTGGTGCAGGTACTTTTCCTGAAAACAAAAAAACCTCATATCTGTTTATATAAGACAAGCTTTGTTCCACTCAGAGGTCAAGCATGAAAACAAGGCAGTCTTGTGAAAATTTTATCACGAGCTTCAGAAACAGTTTAGGGTTTTTTCTACATAAATGATGATGTTTCATAAGGCTATGTCATGTGCTCTGAACAACAACTCTGTGATCTCCTGGTGCAGGAGTTAAAAAAAACCCATGATATACAAGGTATACAACTCTTGAAACAATGGTGCGTCAGTGCGGGGCAATAATTTGCAATATATTTACTTGAGTTTGTATTTAAGGGGAAAAAGACGGGGTTAATTTTGTGCTGCACTGATTTATGTACAGTAGCTAAACAGGTACTGTACCTGAACAGGTGCACCTGTATAAATAACGGTTGAATGAAAAAGGTACTGTCAATCTGCTTCATGGTGATGTCATCATCAGAGGAATGAAACTATCAGATGGAAGGAATGCAAATGTCTTGTGTGCACATTTTTTAACCTAAGATGTCTTGTAGTGTTTTTAGCACTCAGTCTTTTGTGTTGATGACAACTCTCAGCTACAGCAATGCCAAATTTTTACTTGGTATCTGTAAAACTGACTTTTACACTTTGTTTATGGATTTTGTGGTTTCCACTTAACCACCGTCTGGCTATAATAAAGATAGTTTTTCTTTATTTTTCTAATAATATTTGAACTAGAGAGTTGCTGTGCTGCCAAGAATAAGTTTTGTGCAGATTTGGTGCAGAGGTCATGCTGAGCTGACATGTTAGATGTTTACAGTCATCACATCCCGCCTCCTCCTGCTTCCTGTTAATCTGCATGTTTCTTTATGTCTCCAGGTGAACCTCTGTTCTCCAGCCAGCAATGAAACCTACCAGGAACGACTGCTTCGACTAGAGGGAGATAAGGAGTCTCTCGTGCTGCAGGTCAGAGCAGAAATGTTTCTTTTGTTTCATTCTTGAACAGACTGCTTAGTGTTTTACTCACATGGTAAAACAATTATTTTGCTATTTATCCTTTGTTGTAAAAGTTGGCAAAATACCAATATGAACAGTAATGTTTTGCCTGTGTGTGTGAGAGTTCATGTGTCAGTTACCAAAAAATATCATGAACCATGTGGAGAGATTTTAATGAAACTTGCAGAAAGTAATCACTGGATGTATGTTTGCAATTGAATACCTTTGGGAGTCAACCTGTTTCTAGCCGTCATAACCAACTTGCATTAAAAAAAACACCATCACGACAATAACTTGGTTAATTTTACAAATATTGAGCAATAATTGGATGTGGTAGTAGCTGAGTCATTCACAACATGTGCTCTGAGCGTGACGAAATTGTGTACACAGGGTCCCAGTTACGTCCAACAAAACTATTAAAATGTAAAAGAAAAACAGTAATAAGATCTAAGATGTGAACGAAGAAAAACGTTAATAAAAATACACTAAGCACTATTAGTGTAAAGACAATATGCCGAACAGCAGCACGAACACGAGTCTGTGTGAGCAGATGAGCACGCATGAGCACAGCAACATGAAACAGATCAGCAGCAACATGAAACAGATCAGCAGCAACATGATGTGATTTTTCACAGTGATTATTCTGATTAGATATTCATGAGTCTAACTGCCTCAGAGTTGAAGATGTTCCTCAGTCTAGTGGTTCTACACTTAATGCTCCTTAACCTCCTTCCTGAGGGGAGCGGGGCAAAAAGTGTGTGTGCTGGGTGAGTGGGGTCCTTCATGATGCAGGTGGCTCTCTTCCTGCATCTTGAGGTGTAGATGTCTGTGATGGTGGGGAGGCTGACTTCAACAGACTTCTGTGCAGCCTCCATACCACCAAAGTGGAAGTGGATACCTCTTTGCCTGTTTATTTTTTTAAGTTATCATGCAACATACAACACGGATGGACATACAGATGGACGGAGGGCATTTCTAATTCCCCCTTTTCGCTCTGCAGCAAAAAGAAACAACAGTAAATCTATAGTTTATTCTTGACACGAGAATTTAAATGTGAAAATTCATGTTTTACGGGTGGATTTTTGCCAACTTGTAAAAACATCCTAATTTCTACAGTCTTTAATCACTCTTTTCTTTTTCTTTTAAAAAAACTAAACATGTCTGAACGCCGTCAGAGCCACTGACAACTTTTACTGTAGCTTTGAACATCAAGACAGCAGCACTCCAGTTGAAGATGATTATATGTCTCTTGTGATGTCAACAGGTTCTTTCTGCTCCGGGATCAGTTTAATGACCACTTCAGGCAGCTGTGATTTCCACATTCTGTCTTTAAATTCCCCACATTTAACTAGCTGTTATCAAACGTCTCATCGGGCTCCTTTTTCCTGTGTGAGTTTGTGTTTCGCTTATGATAACCTCCATATAAGAGAGGAGTACACCACCCGCCTGGATGACCCGGTTCACAAAGCTATCTAAAGTCCAGATCTCATTCCTTGCCACCACCTCTCCCCCACACACACCTACTTGTTACACATTCCTCTTCTGACAGCTCTCATTGGTTGATAACCAGGTTGACCGGGGCTTCTGTTTCTTCACTGAGGATTTAATTGGCTGTTGACAGTTCCTCTTTTCAGTTCTTTCTCTTACTTTCTCTTTACCTGGCTGTGTTGTCCTGCTGCAGTGTTTGTGTGGTTTTTATGTTAACGGATACGGGCTTTGTAGCCGGTACTACAATCGTTTCTGCTCAAACGAGGTAAGAAGTTGCACGTTAAACTACCTTATGGACTCAAATAGTTGCAGTCATAGCTGTTCTTGTCTGTGTGATAAAGATCTAAAATAGAAACTTGTGTTTTTGCTCTTGTCTGAGCGTGCATGTGTTTGTCTGTACTTTTAGCATTACCCAATCAATGCATTTTATTAAAACTTCCAGAAAGTAACCACCGGGTTGAAATCTATAACTGATTAACTTTTAAGCCAACCTGATTCAGGATGTCTGCCTCAGCCAATCGATCTTATCCAACACAGAAATGGCTGTAACTGTCAGTTTTATAGATATTAAGTTCAGTTTTGATCAGGTAGTAGCAAAGACCGGTCCCCAACTCTAAACACTAGTTGCTCAAGGCGTGTTTAAAACTTTGCTTCTATTTGAATCAACTCTTGTCTGTTTGTTAGCAAAACATTTCATTAACCACTGAATGGATTTTTATTGTATACTCGGAAAGTAATCATTGGATGTACGTTTACAGTTCATTGTCTTTTGGAGTCAACCCAAGGCAAGATGTTTGACGCAGCTATCGAACTTAAAAGACACAAAATGGATTAAACAGTCAGTTTTACCGCAATTGAGCTTAACTTTGTTGTGGTTGTAGCTGAGACTGAATGTTTATGTTTAACACTGTGGCATTAATTGTCTGTCTGTTAGCAAAAAAAATCATGAACCACTGGACAAATTTGCTTGAAATTAAAGTTGGTTGCACATCTACAACTTTGACTTCAAAAAGTTGGAGTCAAATCCATTTGAGATGACCCACTGCTAAAGCGATCATAGCAAACTTAAAAATAGTCAGTTTTAAAGATACTGAGCTAAAGTTTAGTGTGGTAGTAGCTGAAAGTCATGCACAACACATTAAAACGCAACAGATCATGTTACTTTCAAAGGTTGACTGTTTGTCAATTCTCAACATAAGATCTTAGTCTAAAACTCTGGAATGAAAGACAGTGGGCGATATGCATTCCTTCAAAGCTTTAAAAGTGACTTAAAAAAATTATTAACTTGTTTGTTCGTTTTGTTTGTAATCTGGATTTTAACGAATTAAAAGCCTAAAAGTTGCCAGCTTGTTCATCTCTGTGACACAGGATGTGACCGCAGGGCTCAGAATCAGAGAAGTGACAGAGCTGCTGTCAGAGGAGCTCAGCTCATATGATGAAGAGGAGCTGGAGTGAGTTTGGCAAGAGGTGGACATGCTGTCAGGGAGATTAGAGAAAACGTGAAAAGCATTCCTGAGTGGCAGGCTGCTGAGTGGAGCTGAAGTGTTGAGGTTTGCAGTGATGGATGTGTAGATTTTAAGAAAAAAAAACCTGTTTACCAGCAGAAATTGTAGTTTTTTCTGTTTTGTTCATGTTTATCTGCAACATTATCATACGTTACAGTTCTGTCACTTTCCCTGCTCTTCATTCTGTTGATGTCTTTAAGACAAAGCTGGAGCTGAGACTCAACTGGGGGTCACAATGAACACCAAGTGAAGGGTCTTGATCCATCCATCCATCATCTTTTACCCACTTCTTCCATTTTGGGTCACGGGGGTCGCCGGTGCCCATGTCCAGCAATCACTGTGCGAGGGGCGGGGTACACCCTGGATGGGTTGCAAGTCCATCACAGGGCCACATAGAGACAAACGAGACAAACAACCATTCACTCTCTCACTCACACCTAGGGACAATTTAGAGTTACCAATCAGCCTAACATGCATGTTTTTGGTCTGTGGGAGGAAACCGGAGTACCCGAGAAAACCCACGCATGCACAGAGAGAACATGCAAACTCCACCCAGAAAGGCCCCTGGACCAGGATTTGAACCAGGGACCTGCTCGCTGAGGGGCAGCAGCTCTACCAGTTGCGCCACCGTGCTGCCCCAAATGAAGGGTCTTGATGATCTCCAAAAATTAAATTAAAATCAAAATTATTCCTTATCCCTTTTTTATCACAATTTCTACAAGAATAAATAAAAAACAGTTTTAAATGTTTATATGTAATGAAAGGATGATTGCATATTTATTCCTTAATTCAACTTTTTACTTTATTCATCCTTGAGGGAGTTTAGTTATTTAAAATGTTTCATTATTATCCATCCATCCATCCATTTTCTTTACCCGTTTTTTCCATTTTGGGTCACGGGGGTCGCTGGTGCCCAGGTCCAGCAATCACTGTGCGAGGGGCGGGGTACACCCTGGACAGGTCGCAAGTCCATCACAGGGCCACATAGAGACAAACGAGACAAACAAACATTCACTCTCTCTCTCACACCTAGGGACAATTTAGAGTTACCAATCAGCCTAACATGCATGTTTTTGGACTGTGGGAGGAAACCGGAGTCCCCGGAGAAAACCCACGCATGCACGGAGAGAACATGCAAACTCCACCCAGAAAGGCCCCTGGACCGGGGTTTGAACCAGGGACCTGCTCGCTGAGAGGCAGCAGCTCTACCAGTTGCGCCACCGTGCTGCCTGTTTCATTATTATGTTTTTTTAAATTGTTTTCAGTTTGTTTGTTGTGGCCGTTAATTTTGTTTTTTTTAATTTGCTTATTATCGCTCACTATCATAAAAGCTGTTAATCATTTTACACTGCGTCTGTTAGCAAAATATCCCATTAATCAGTGGTTGAGATCTAATGAAACTCATAAAGTAACTATTAGAAGTCCATTTACAATTAATTGACCTTTAGTCAACATGATTCAAGACGAGCTACAGCTCATTGACCTCAGCAAACTAAATCACTACAAGTCAGACATTTTATTTTGGGCTAAAACTTGGTGCGGTAGAAACTGAGAGTCATCCCCCTCAGATACTACAAGCACTAACAGATTACAAAACCTTTGTTCAAATCTTTCACATGTAATATAATAGAGGATTTGCATTCTTTCATGTAGTTCATATTTTAATTAACAGTATTTTTATATTTCCAGCTGCGGTAGTTTGCGTCACAATTCTCTGTTTTCATAGAAAACCTTTTTTTTTTTAATTTCCCACCCACAGGTGAGCGTTCTGACTGACCAGGTGGAGGCACAAGGAGAGAAGATTCGAGATTTGGAAAGCTCTCTGGAGGAGCACCGACAGAAACTGGTCTCCACAGAGGAAATGCTGCAGCAGGTAGAACCCTCTAAAAATGACTTTTGCTGTGGGTTTAAACAGATTTGACTCATATAAGTTATTGAGTGGAAAATAGTTTAAAACTTTTGATAATCAAATGTGGGAAACATGTTTGTTTTAGCAGCTTCCTGTTGGACTAATTCTGACCCGGTTCAGCCGTAGTCAGACATCAACCTGATCGAGCTCCTAAATGTTTCTTTATGTAATTTTTTTTTAACATGCTTTTTGTAAATCCGTTTTGTTTTATAATTTTTTTATGATATGTTTCTGTATGGTAAAACAAGGTCCCACTTATATCCGGGGTACAATTACTATTATATATATTTTTTTATTTTTAAACTTTTTTTTATGAAAACCAAAATAATTACCTTGTTTCTACAGCAGGGGCAGGCAGCTTTTTTCTAAAGTGCCAAATTGATACATTGTAGCTTAAAGCAATCAAAGTGCCGCAAAAAAGAAATGAATGAAAAGAAATGAGAAAATGAATTTTCTTTAAGACTGTTAACCTTTTAGACTTTTTCTTGTAGCATAGTTAGCATGCTTAATAAAAATATGTCTCCCCAATACCTTTTAGGAATATAAGACATAGTTTTTTGTGAGCTGGCTCTTATTATGAGATATTTGATAGCTTAAATATGTTTTAAAAAAGTTATATAGTAGTCCCTCTCTACTTCGTGGTTCGTTGTTCACGGACTCGCTCTGTCGCGGTTTTTCAAAATAAGAATGTACATGACACACATTGGCTGATTAATGGATGTGTCGCCCAATCTGCATGCAATTTTTATTTAAAATGAAATATTTTAAATTATTTTGCACCTGTTGCACCTGTGTGCAGCCCACACTGCAGGAGAAGCTTCCTCCTGCAGCTCCTCCTCCTTCCTCCTCTGTCGATCTCCGTTCTGCAGCAGAGAAGCGGGCGTGGCCGAGAGCGCAGAGTGCAGCCATGGCAAGGAGCTGAAATCTTGACATTTTGTGCTCTTTTAGAGCGTTTAGTTTAGAAACATTGTTTAGAATATTGCAAGAGTGTGCGAAGGCTTTGTATTTATATATATTTATATAAATACTAAAATAAACTACTATTTACTACATGTACTACTATCCCTACTTTGCGGTTTTTCACTTATCGCAGATCCCCCACAATAAACAAGGGACTACTATATGACATATTTTCTCTGAGCTGGCTCTTGTGACAGTATATTTATATTTATTAGTTTAAATATGAAACAAAATAGTTGTTTGCTTTTTGGATTCTTTAAGATTGAGCGTATTTCTGGAAACAGCTTAAAACTGAGTTGCCTTTCTTAGTCCAAAGGTTTTTGGCATATTTTCCCAAGATGTTTAATTTAGACTTCTTTAAGTTTCATTGATAAAATGCAGGTTTTTATACTTTATACTTTTATACTTATTTAAAAGTTGTTTTCTTTCCAGTTGAGAAAATTGAGAGGATGAGTGGAGATTTTCAAAGGGCCACTTCTGGCCTCAACAGTCAGTAACAATAAATGAGCTGCTGAGTTGTATCACATGTCTCATCAGGCAGCTGGATTCTCACATAGATCACTATCAAATGAGAATTCATTGATGAGATTAGAGCTACATTTTTGAAGTTAAGGCATTTTTGTAACCTATGTCCTACAAGCACAGCTAACTCCCACTAGTGGAATTTGCAACAGATTCCAGTAAAAAAGACGATTTCATCATTCAGTGCTTCAGCTTTCGTTGGTGAACACTCACAGCAGAGTTGCAGTTCTTTATTTTTACCAACAAATTGCATATTTCTGTATCAGTGAGCCATGGTATTTTGTATTTTAGGATGTAAAACCCTAAATATGATGGGTTAAATTTATGCAGCATCATTTGTGTTAGAGCTGGAGAATATATTTCATTGTCAACAAACAACCGTGAAGTTCATCTGCGTGGAAATAATGTTTTGTCTCTCCTCCCTACTGGAAAAACTAATTTCACCAACAGGTTTCATTTTGTTGATTCGACTGGTCTTAATCAGTCTTTAATGGGTTTTATGTGTGCTTTTATTCTCATCATTTAGATCCAAAAGCAGTATTAATTATCTTTTTTCCCCCCTAAATAAGTTTATCCTGATCTTTTAAATATTTAAAATATAAATGGGTAACAAAATCTGCCTAATTTGCCAAAACCTTCTGGTGACGCTCATGACTGTTTGAGCTTGAACAAATGAAACAGGAACCAGGGACACTCACAACAGTTTGTAATGGATTATTAGTCAGTGTATGTGTTTTGAAATGGAACTGACAAAAAAAAAAATCTACACAAACCAGTTATGATCCCTATGAAATTCAGCACCAGTACAGCTTCAAGTAACTGTTATTCATCAACGGTTCTTATTTAGCTGTAGGAGTGAGAGGGAGTAGATGGTTACTTGTGACAGGAAATGACTAAATTAAGGAGTGTTTGTGTGTTCCAGTTTGTCTTGACCCGATTTGACATATATACGTTTTTAAGTTGTATTTAAAACAACCAGAGTTGACCAAAATGCTCTACACAGTGTTAAAAAAAAACAACCACAATAAGCAAAGTAAACATAGGAGATGGATATGAAACGTAAAATTAAAGGACAAAAAGAAAAACTACGTCTTTGGGTGTGTTTAAAAACTGATGGATGGGCTTATCTGTAAGGTATTGTTTGTAATCTGTACCTGTCCATCAGGTCCCTCTTCTTTCAACCCCGTGCAGCCCACGTTGCAGCGATTGCACAGCCTCTCTGCATTAACAGCAACAACCCTCCCATTCAAAGATGGAGCCAAACCCGCAACAAATAAAATGTTACCACAAGAAGAAAAAGCAAACTAATAAGAATCCCTGATTTGAGCAATAACTTTGTGAAGAGATCAGAGATTAGGAGTCTGGACTCGTCTGCACATTTAGACAACTGATCCCTCTGGGACCTGGAGGGCATAAAGTTCACCTAATTTCTGGTGGGAAATAACTTAAAAAGCTAAAACAGCTTGTTTTCCCCTATTAGATCTTTGAGTAAACTGTAGTTGAACACTGTTATGCTTTGAGTCTACATTCATATAATCCACAGGATTATTAAGAACTAACTATGCATGTATCTTTCTCAGAAGGACACATAATACAGACTAAGAGTGGTGTGGAAGGCCAAACTAACAGGCTAAACTTATTTCTACCATATAAGAATTTTATATTTAGCTATATATGTGATTTAGTTATCTTCTTAGTGTAGACATTGTAACTGGACAATAAAAATCTGAAACCTTCCTGTTGAAAATCTAAACTTTTTTAAAATTTAATATAGATAATCAACATTCACGAAAACTCAGCTTCCCAGTGGAGACTTCTGACATTGCAGGATATCACTACTCACCTTCAAAAGAAAATCACTTCAAAAGCTGGTTTCAATACAAAATCAGAGATTTTACATTTAGGTTTGATTTGATTTCTAATTTTTCATTGACCTCCAACTGCAGGATGGAGTCGCTGATGTGTGAACCAATGTACGGTAATCACTAGGACTGTCATTGTTGAAGTGAATGGTCTCAAAACATGTTGATTTCTGTAAAATGTCATTTTAGATTTGGGTTTCCAGTTTGTTGTTTTATTATTTATTTATTTTTTATCTATATTCTGTTAATCCCCAGTGGGGAAATTCGTTTCTGTATTTTTCCCATTTCATGAGTCATTTTGCTGATAACGGCACCTTTTTAAATGCAAAGCATCGTGGACCTGTTTGTGGGTGCCCGGTGTGTGACTTGAACGAGTGTGAACATGGGCCATGGAGATCACTGTGCTGTGTTTATGTGCAACAATGATCAAGTATTCAAGAACAAGTGAGAATGCTGTATATGGAATAATGAAAACTTATGATAGTCGCACCTAGGCTCATGTAGTTGATGTAGTATTAGAGGTCTAGTATTATAGTATATGTCACTTATAGTATATATCTAGTATTCTAGGTCTAGTATAGGCCTAGTATTATAGTATAGGTCTAGTATTTGAGTTCTAGTATTATAGTATAGATCTAGCGTTGGGGTCTAGTATTATAGTATAGGTCTAGGATTAGCGGTATAGATGTATTATAGTATAGATCTAGTATTAGAGACCCAGGACATGCAGGAGAGACTGTCTCTCAGTTGGCCTGGGAATGCCTTGGAGTCCTCCCAGAAGAGATGGCTGTGGAAAGAGATGTCTGGGCCTCCCTGCTCAAAATGCTGCCCCCGCGACCCCACTTTGGAACAAGTGCAAGATGGGTAGATGGATAGATGGTCCATGCATATGGTTAAAGACCACAATAAAAAAGGCATTTACCACCATTAAACACAGATTAACCAATTAATATTTATGCCAAATACCATGTGCAGCCAAGAAGGATGTTTTTTACTCAGCCTTTCTAGAATCATAGGTAGACCTGCCTCCAGATTGTATGTAGGCTCGTCATTTTAGGCTTCCATCTCATCACACGAGCAGCATAACAGCTCTTGTCCTTTCTCGAATTAGAAATACTGTAGGCACATCACATACCAACAAAAACTCTTTAAGTTGCACAACAGTCCAATTTTCTAATTCTGAAAACCTGTCCATCATTGACTTCACTGTCAGTTTCCCCCAAACAATCCTACAAATCGTTGCGTGCCGTATTTAGTAGGCAACACTAAACAAAGATGGTGGTATCCTTGTAATGGCTCATGTGTGAGAGCACACTTGTGGAGCAGAGGGCTGGGGAGCAACTGGAGGGTTAAGGGCCCACAAGGAGGTCAGTGAGGGTGGAGGAAGCCTAATTTTTGTGTCAGTCTTTGAATTTGAACCTGCAACCTCCCCCGTCGCCTTCTCTAACCTCCCCCAAATTATAATTAAGGATATACATTGGACTTTATTTTTTTTTTAAGACACAGAATATAGGAAAAAATAAATGATGGAGAAAATAACTAAAAAAAAAAAAATTCTTAGATATCAAACCATTTTCACCACATTTGGATTTCATCTGTGAATGTCCTCAAGTTGTTCCA